ACCTCTCTTATAATCAATTGCAGGGTCCTGTTCCTGACACCCCAGCATTTCGAAATGCCTCGCTACAAGGGAACAAGGGCTTGTGTGGCAATGTCACAGGATTAATGCCTTGCGAAGCTAATGTCTTGCGAAAGGGCCACAAGAACAAGAAGATCCTTTTTGTTATTGTCTTCCCTCTTTCAGGATCTATGATTCTCTCATTAATAGTTCTTGGAATTTTCTTCAGCTCCAAAAGGACTACAGATTCGCTTGAGAAACAAGAAAGTGGATTGAATGATGGGCAACTGCTTTCAATATCTGCCATTGACTTTGATGGTAGATTCTTGTATGAAGAAATCATAAATTCAACCAAGGATTTTGGTGCTATGTATTGCATTGGAAAGGGCAGATCAGGAAGCGTCTACAGGGCAGAACTTTCATTCGGAGATACCGTGGCTGTGAAGAAATTCCATCCGTTATCTGATGATATTGAACTGGTAAATCAAAAGGAGTTCCTGAACGAGATAAGGGCACTAACTCAAATTCGACACAGGAACATTGTGAAGCTCTATGGTTTCTGTGCCGCTCCAAAGCACTCTTTTTTAATTTACGAGTACATCGAAAAGGGTAGCTTGGCCACAATCCTCAGCAATGATGAAGCAGCAAAAGAACTTGACTGGGAGAAGAGAATCAATGTTGTAAAGGGGATTGCCTATGCCTTGTCCTACATGCATCACGATATCTCACCACCAATCATTCATCGAGACATATCGAGCAATAATGTTCTATTGGACTCAGAATTTGAAGCTCATGTTTCCGATTTTGGTACTGCTAAGCTTCTTGAAATTGATTCAGCCTCCTGGACTAGACTCGCTGGCACATGTGGATACATTGCACCAGGTAGTCGAGTTCATGTTTTAAGAACTCCTAGAGGCAAATAAACATACGATTTGGTAATTAACTTACTATATTTTTCTTTTCCTTGCAGAGCTTGCCTACACAATGAAGGTTACCAAGAAATGTGATGTGTATAGCTTTGGAGTGCTAGCATTGGAAGTGATCAAGGGAGTACATCCGGGTGATGTTATCCCTTTGCTGTTGTCTTCGTTCTCGGAAACAAATGTTCTGTTCGAGGATGTGTTGGGTTTGGATCAGAGGCTTCCACCTCCATCGCCAGGAGTCCAAGACAAGCTGAGGTTGATCATGAAGGTGGCATCTTCATGCTTAAATGTCAATCCTGAATCTCGACCAACCATGTACTCGGTCTCCCAGATGCTATCCGCCTGAAACTATTCCTTCCACAACTTCAAGATCTTCATCATTACATGCACTGAATTTATTTTCCATTTTGCAAAATAATAAGAGATGCACAATAGTGCATAAGTTCTACAAAAATAGATGTTGATTTGTACTCTCAAAAAAAAATAATTATGTTATTACATGATTTCATAATATTATAAATTTATAATTATAGTATTTTTTTGGGTACATCAATAGCAAATTTATAATTATGGTATGATATGTTTAAAACAAATCAATAATTAACATATATTAATTATTAATAATATAATTATAAATTTGTAATGTCATGTTTTTATTATAATTTAATTATAAAAATAATATAATTATAATATTTCATAACACTGTTAACTTATAATAAAAATAATTTATAATAAGAATATTTTACTATAAAATTTATATTTAAAATATTTAAATTTAAAATTTTATTTAATGAAATCAAATTTCATCTACTCAAGATAATAAGCGATTGGTAACTACATAATATTATAAATTTATAATTATAACAACTCATTATATAATTTATTTTTTTATTTATGAGACGAATATTTTACATTGATAGTATTCCTCACTCCACGTTGCCTTTGAATCTTTCTAATACGTCAGATGACATCCAACAGGGGTAAATTGGAGAATACACCAAATATCAAAGGTGGCATGGGATGCCCCCTTAAAGGGGCCACTTTCGTCTTCGAGTCTCCGCACCAGACGTGTGGAGTACCACAGAGAAAGCGAAGAGAAAGGAGAAAGCAATGTCGACGCTTGTCGTGCCGGACGCGGTTCCCTCTGTATTCGAAGACTGCGAGCAGCTGAGAAAAGCCTTCGCAGGTCTCATTCTTTTATCATTTCTCTGTTTTCCATCATTTATGTCCTGTGATCGTTGATCGTCGACTCCGGTTTCACCGATCGGATCAGTTTTTCTTATTTTCCGATCGCCGGTGATCTGCGATCTTGATCCGGCATTGTGTGATTGTATCCTGTATTAATTCTTTGCTGTGTGGAAAACACAAAATCCGGCTTTTACATAAGCAGGCACGTTCATGGCAGGATCTTCGACGTATCAGCACTAGATCTAATAAAAATAACACAAATCTCAATTTTATGTGATTATCAAAACAGACAAGAAAAGGTAGCAGAATTTCAGACGATATAACAACATTTGTGCGGATTCTGGATTATTTTTATTTAAATTGAAGTGTTTGGAATTATATCATATTAAGCTACCACAGAGCTTAATCTCATTTGGACATGATGCTTCTAAGATCAATCCCAAGTAATAGTAAAACTTCAGTCTGTTGATTATTTTTTTTTTTTCCCCTTTATAATTCTATTGATGCTATGTAGTGGAGTTTTGGTCATCGATGTTGTCAAGAGTCATGTAGACTGCAATTTTTACTTGGAAATAGTGTTAGTGAAGCTGTTTGGTAGATCGCTTCTTACTTGAAAGGGAAATGTTCAAAATCTCGAATTTTTTATTGTCAATTTTGTCTTGAATGGATAAAAATTTTCATGTGTATGCATGTTTTACCCATTGTTGGGAAATTGTGATGTCAATTTATTGTCATTGGCATTACCGTAGGGTGGGGAACCAATGAGGGGTTGATCATATCCATATTGGGTCATAGAAATGCAGAGCAGCGGAAGTTGATTCGACAAACTTATGCTGAAGCTTATGGAGAAGATCTCCTGAAGGAATTGGACAGGGAACTCACAAATGACTTTGAGGTTAGCTTTTGAAAGAGCTTCATATTTTCATGATGGAGGATTTTCTCACTAATTTAGTTGAATGGATAGATGGTCCTGCCACAGAGATGCACAACAAAGATTTTCATAGATCACAACTCATAATATTCTTGTTAATATAGTTGTATTAGTTGGCAGAATCAGATCTATAGAACTAGTCATGGTGAGGAAAATCTTAGATCATCTGCATTTTAAATTCTTGGGAGTAAGCAATTAGAATGGTATTTCAGAGGTAAATGTTTCTTTTTACGATTCCTAATTTTCAGAGGGTGGTTTTGCTATGGGCCCTTGATCCTGCTGACCGTGATGCATTTTTGGCTAATGAAGCAACAAAGAAATCAACCTCAAGGTATCAGGTCCTCATGGAAATTGCCTGCACAAGGTCCTCTAATCATCTGCTTCATGCAAAGCAGGCTTATCATGCTCGTTTTAAGAGGTCACTTGAAGAGGATGTTGCTTGCCATATAACTGGAGACTTCAGCAAGGTACAGCTCCAGACTATCATTAATGTGATAGTATATCAATGATTTTCTATTTTTGGCTAGTCATGGTTTACCAATTAGTAGAATTACACCTTTCAGGGGAAATCTTTTGGGGACTCTAGTATAACAGCTTTTTATTGAGCTCTATTATTTTTATTCCTTAGCTTTCACTGAAAAGCCTTTTGCCTTCCCAAAAGCCTCTCCTTTGTTTACAGCATGAATGTTTCCAATAAGGATACTCAAATTTTGTAAGGATACTTATTTTTTGGATAATCCCTTCCCAATACTGGAGGAAAAAAGTTTCTAAACATGAATATATTGATTTTTACCAAGACACAGCTTAGTTTATAACGGACTTGACTGGCTTTAGAATTGGTAGTCACACATGGTTTAAGGTGATGAAAAAGAATTAGCCTTAATTAGTGGTGAGTCTGGTGACACATACAAGGAATGCTTAAGGTACAAACAAATGGCTCTTATGGAGTATGGAATATCGTTCTTGTTCTCACTTCTTCAATTTGTTTGACTTTAAGATCCTGTTGTCAATGGTGTGGTCTGTAGGATCCTAATTGATTGTTTTACTTTTAATTTGTCTCTCTATTTCTGTATATGATCCCCAGCTTCTGTTTCCTCTTGTGAGCTCATATCGATATGAGGGAGATGAGGTGAATATGACCCTGGCAAAGTCAGAGGCTAAGATTCTCTATCAGAAAATTTCTGAGAAGGCATACAGCAGTGAGGATCTTATCAGGGTTTTGGCAACAAGGAGCAGGGCGCAGATCAATGCAACTCTGAATCAGTACAAAAATGAATTTGGGAATGATATTAATAAGGTATGCATAGAGGGACAGATACATTCCTTGCTCTGCCCGCACCTCTTCCCTCTATATCTTCTCTATCTTCTCTTCCACTGTTATCCTTGAATGCTTTGAATGTTGAGGGCAATGTCCTTACTGTCCTTAGAGAAACCAGTTGGTTAACCCCATTAATTATTACTAAATAATCTCTAATCCTGTTAATGGTAACCTCTAAATTCCATCTTCCTTTTCTTTGTTTCTGGGGTAAATGTAGAAGGCAAGGTATCCATAGCTAGAAATGAGTTGTTTACTGTTTTTTTTTTTTTTTTAATATTTCATGGACAACTAATTACTAACTAAAAATGTTTCCTTTCCAAAAAATGAAAAACTAATAAAATTCCGTTGGATTTGTTACTCCGACATGCAGGACTTGAAAACTGATCCTAATGATGAGTTCCTAGCACTAATGAGGACCACAGTTAAGTGCTTGACCCGTCCTGAGAAGCACTTTGAGAAGGTTCTCCGTCTTGCAATTAACAGGCGAGGAACTGATGAAGGCGCTCTCACCAGAGTTGTCACCACCAGGGCTGAGGTTGACCTCAAGATCATAGCAGATGAGTATCAGAGAAGGAACAGTGTTCCTCTGGATCGTGCAATTGGCAAAGACACCACTGGAGACTATGAGAAGATGCTTCTAGCGCTGGCAGGACGTGCACATGCTTGAGCTGTTCCATTTCATTTTCAAGAAACTAATTTTCTGTTAAGAAGCAATGTGCTTATGGCCCGAGTTTTGGATTTTGCTGTGTTTTATCAAGTTCCATGTCATTTTCATTCCTTTGCCAGTCCAGAAATAATTATTCAAATAATAAGAAAGAATATTTTCTTTTTCAATGTTTCAAATTTTAGCATCTTCTATACAGCGTAAAATGTTATTATAAATCCAGCCGAAGCAATTGCCTCTCAATTTCAATCGTTACTCCTCTTTTCCCAGAGACGCAAGGTTTTTTTATTTTTTGGCCAGGAGGTGCATGTGATTTACGTGCCTCAAAATCGAAGCCATTCCAATGGGTTGTAATAATTGTAGCGGATCAAAGAGTCACCTTCAATACCAACAAAACGTCGAAAAACAAGTTTCCATTCCACGAAAGCACAATCTAGCCGGGAAAAACGCTAATACAAACATAGTTAAACCGACTCGTTAACTTCAAAATCTTAATTTCACAATCGACATCAACTTCTTTTTTGATAAGAAAAAGGCGCCTTTGAATTAGATGATCTCATATTATGGAACTCGACATCTCAAGAGATTACAAATTCCCCTTGTGCCTAAAGACTGCATTGTAGATTAAAAATCCCATTAACCCTCCATGCACGATACTCTAAAATGGTTTTTCAATTATTGTCATTTCCCTTGAACCAGAGATGATAACATTTTAGAGAACAACAAGACAACAGCAGGCAAAATTTTCCTTTACATCATTCAGCAACCACGGGGCTGAAGACTGAAGTTGCAACCAGTGTGACTGGAAAGCATAATCATTCTCGTCTATTTTCTATATCTAAGTAAAACCAACATAGATAAGACCCCTAATTAGCACTGAACAACAACACTTGTAAAATTGACAACATCATTTCTTCAACACCTTCCGTGAGAAAATCCTCTTGCAATAAGGGCTGGTCCGCAACAGTGTATGTGGTCGGATAGCTTCAAGCAGAGAAGCACGAAGATTACCCTGCTCGAAATAACAAGTTATTAGGTAATGAAGAAAAATCTTATGAATCACATGTATATCTACAAATTTTCAAATGTGCAAAAACAGATATGTAAAGAGATTTTTATCTCAAATTTGATTAGAAGATGTTAAAGGCATGCAAGGGAGAAGATAGATGGCCTAGTTCTCAATACCTTGGCAACCGCTAGAGCAGACTGAATGACATAGTTAGCAAATGGATCTTGAAGCAACTGGTCAAAGTTAGGTACCGAGAGCAACTCAGAGATGATTTGTGACCGACTTTCTGGCAAAAACTTGAGGCATTTCTCAACAACATGACTGCTAAATTTCTGCATTGAAAGTTGCACATAGTGCCCCTTGAACTGAGAAAGCAAGATGACACAGGCTGCAGAGATCTGTTGATCCATGATGTACTGAACAACATAATTTCTGGTCATACAAAAAACTATTCAGAATCAGGATCAAATGAAAATAACAGGATAGTTAATAAAAGCAACCAAAGGAAAGTAAAATAGGATAAGGAAAACAAAAAAGTGATCTAATTTAAGGTTCTAGTTTAGGTAGTGTTTTCTGATTTTAATATTAAACACTGAAAAATAGAGTAATTTTAGGTAACATTTTCTGATTTTAGTGAATAAATATATTCAACTAGAAACTTAAAAGACATATTGGACAGCAAGTTTCTATGGCAGGTAAGCCAAAGCAATACATCATTGTTGCAGATTGATGACAGCTCAATATCAAGGATGGGGACACCAATCAACATGAGATTTGAATATATATTCTTGATCTAGAGTTAGGGCAGTAGAGTACGATAAAACAAATCAACCAAGATAATCATGGATTAGGAATAAAGCTTGTGTGTCTTGGAGTTAAGGTCCTTGTCCATGGGAAGCCAATTAGTTAAAGACTGAAGAACCTTTTCATCATGTAACAGCAGTGGCTGTCTCTGCCCCCCTCAGGGCAGACCCCAAACGTAAATGATCACTGCCTACTTCTCCATTATGATTCAAGTATAAAGTTTTTCTTATGACCCAATTGCTCACTTGAAATTCAGTTATGCATTAAAAAGGCAACTTTTCATTGAAATTGTTTCAAAGCATATTATGCTGAGATGGATATAAGAAAATTTTGGAAACTAAAATTATCTAATGAACAAATAATTTGCAATCAGGAATTTCTGTCAGCAAAGTAAGAAGCCAAACAAGTTAAACTAGTTTATTACCCAAAAGGATCTTGAGCAAGATGAAGCCCATTCCTTGATATTTGAGTGATTAGCTTATCTCTTTGTTGCCCAGTGGAATAATCAATGCAGCGGTTCAATACACAACATCCATGCCGATGAGTTGCAATATCAACACAAAATTTGGCAGCAGCATCAAAAATGAACTGCAATAGATGATTAATAGAAACAAAGTAGCAAAAAAGTTTCAGAATTTCACTTACAAAATTATAGCAAACCTATGAGAAGAATAGCATCAACTATAAATAAAAGAAATGCATGGAGAGCCTGCCAACTACAGTTTAAACAAGACACAAATCTATCAGAATTCTACAACAGTTCAACACATTACATATAAAGATTGAAATGGTTGACTAGAACGGAGGTTTCATCAAGTACTCTTCTACATGTAAACAAAAAAGAGTAAAAAAGGAGAAAGAAGCTCCTTATTCTGTCAATATTGTGGTCATCTGGTTTTAGTAGGCTAGAGTTGTGACAATTACAATCTGTTTGATCTTTATTACCATAAAACAAATTTACCCACCTCACATTTTACTCAATACTGTAATCTGAATTGCTAGTTCAAAATATTACTCTTTTCTGCTGTAACAATCATTCTGTAAATACTCCCTCAACTGATAATGCAATTTTAAGAATTTCATGCTGGTAAAGTGGTAAATTCATCTGCAATTGCACACAAATGTCTAATCCAACAAAAATTTTATTTGTCATAAATAAATTGTGTGGGGGATTGTGTTGACGGTCCAAACTACAAAATATTGGGATCAATTGCTTTCAATACCTTTGTTGATCATTCACCTACACTAAACATGTTGCTCTGATAGAAAATGATAGCACATACACTTTGTGGTCCTTGTGGAAAAGGTCTCTATACGTGATTGAATGAAGTTAACATCATTAAATCCAGTGCATCAATCTCAAACCATAAAAGAAGTAAAGAGGAGAAACTGAGCAGAGAATAAATATTAACTATGGTAATAGTGATCATGTTTGGAACAATGTGTAGTATTCATGACAAGTTGCTAGTGTATTATCTTGTAGATGAAATACTTTGGATCAGAGAAACTAGATTCTAACTTAACAAAATACCGAGTAGAAACCAGGAATGGAAAAAGGCAAATTCTGAACACTCAACAGAATAAGTATTTAACCTCAAGAATTTAATTGCACCCTCAGGATTAGAAGTAAAGGAAACAAGAAGCTCTACCTTATTATCTTCATCGTCAAAGCATTGCAAGCAACACTGTAGCACATGATTTCCATTGAGATCCTTGATAAGATCAAGAATACCAGACTTAAGGGCTGACTTGACCAGTGAAATCTCTTGCCTAAACTTGAGAGTCTCAATCAATTTCTGTATCACTCGTGTACTGATATTGCAGTACCAGATTTGATGAGTAACAATTCAAGAATAAGAATTGCAAAGAATAATGAATATTACTATGATAAAAGAGAAACAATAAAGCGATGGATGAAGAAGTTACCCATGTGTGTTTAAGGAAATCCTGACGAGCTGACTAGGTTCTCTGGTCACCACTACTACAATCTCCATTCTTTGCTCTTCACTGCATACTTGCAACAATTTCTGCATGAGGTAATTGCCAAATGGATCCACCATAAGTTCAACAGCATGATCAATGGTCCCATTGAACACTATTTGCACATTCAGGCAGGATGTTCCTTCCTCAAACATCCTTTGCAAGAACCTACAACCATTCTGATCTTTTGCCATGGAATATATACAACTTTGGAACTGAGCCAAGGAATGACGACCTGGCATCAGTTTAATACTACTGTAACTATCTAGACTCTGACCATTTTCGTCAATTCCTTCATTGTCGATACACACCCCTGGCTTAGAGCTTTTCCCTAGCAGGTTTTGAATTACAATCTCTTGTAGGGAATTTTTCTTCAAGCCCTTATCTTGTATGATGAAACTATCCTCAAAAGTGAATGGATCTAAATCCTTTGCACTCTTCATGGAAACAACAGTTTTGGGAACCCCATTGTTTGGCATTGTTGTAGTCTTCTCTCTCAAAAATGATTGAACAGGTAGTAGCTCGTCTACATTTGAAGCCAGCTTGGGAAGTCTAAGAGAACTGGATGGATCTTTGGCCACTCTGCTGTCCCTATAATTCACTCCATAATGCTGTGTCCCAGGAGCAAGATCAAGGTAATGCCTAGTACTAGAAGAGCTCTCAGATTGAATTCCCTCATTAACCCAACTTATGCCATTTCCCATTCCCTGCTCCAATGAATAATTTCTCAGGCTATTGTAACAAACAGAATCAGAACATAAACCTTTGTCCTCATCACAAGCAGTATAAGGGTACAACAGATCATCTTGCACAACACCCGATGTGGACCTATTAACAAAACTTTTAGAGCCACTGTAAGCATAGGATTGGAAACCTTCACAACCAAAACCACCATGGTTTAAATCATCATATGAACCATACCCATAATCCTCAACGTTAAAGGGTACAATGCCACCCAAAGACCCATCACCAAAACTCAACGCAAAGCCATCTTGATCCCTCTCAAATCCCCTCATTAGAGTACTACAATCTTTCTCTGTATCTCTTATATTCATTCTGTTTAGTTTCTTTGCCAGAAAGTAATCAGATACCAACTTCTCATTGACACTCTTCCTACATTGAGAATCAGTTCGCTTAGAATTCAACCAGAGTCCATTAGGGTAAGATGATGCTTCATACTTAGCCTCGTCAAACATGGTTGGAAATGTCGAACCATCCTCAGACGAGGAAAACCCATTAGAGAGAGAGCCTGAAGCAGAGTACGGTGATTGCAGAGAAACCCTGCTCCTTGTAGAATCGGTACCCAAAACAAACTTTTGACGATGATTAAGATTCAGATATGACCCTTGAGAGATCTGATTCAACAACATTTCAAGCTCTCCATTCCTTTCCACGTCCACTCTCTCAGCCATCTTCAACAGAGAAAACGGATTCAACACAAGTTACACCACACAAACATATACAGATACAAAAACACAGAAACAAGCACAACCCACGACCCAAAACCCAAAATCCCAGATACGATTCCTATTCAAAACCCAGAAAAAGGCAATATATCGATCAAAGGGCATACAAAGAACACTAAACACAATGTGGGTTTTGATTTTGATTTTGAATTTTGGATTTCCTTGTTGAGATAAGAGGAAGAAGATGAAAAGAAATGGGGATTTTCTTCCTTTCTACGGGTATACAAAAGCGGGTGCACGGCCTGCCATGGGGTTCAAGCTCACGCCATAGCAATGGAGTGAGTCGGCACTACACTGTCACACACAGAAAAAGGCAGAGAGAAAGAAAGAAAGAGAGAGAAGATATGACTAGGTGAGAGCTGCTTTTATTTTTATATTTTTAATTTTTATTTTTAATTAATTTTTTTTTTTTTAAATCTTATAACAGAACCGTAACCTCTTTACCCACAAACACTGCTTGATTTTCTTAGATGATTTTTTTTTTTCCGTAATTATCTTTTTTTTGTTGAAATTAACAAATTAGCGGTGATCAGAGGAGATGTGTGCTGTTTTCGGCTGCCAATTTGGGGTTTTATGGTGCACCTGACCTCACTGAATGGTAGCCTCCCTGTGGAATTGTAAATTTGTAATTCCAAAAAAGGATAACAGAAAACGAATCGGAGAAATTTCTTCTGTACTT